TGGGCCATGGCGGACTACTGGCAGGCAGCTATGATGCTGCCCTGATGCCCGAAAGACAACTCAAAGCAGCTATGTCGCTGCTTGTCTTGGTCCGCTATGCCTGACCCTGCCTCGAGCTGCCCTGGTGCAGCGTTACCCCAACTGGGGCCTTCCAGATGCAGCGCCCAACAAGGCAATGAAGACGGTGTCCACCATAGCCAGGTAAGTGCCCTACCACTCTCCTACCATGTCCCCCTTCTTCCTCCTTCAAGCTGGGGTGCTCACCATAGCCAGGCTGAGCCCCAGCAGACCTTCACCTCCAAGCAGCGCTGCTTCAGACCAGCGCTTCGCTCTAGCAGCATGTCGCCAATCCTTGCATACCGCAAATGAGGAAGAGCTCACCGCTCTTCCTGAAGATATAGCGGCCTACCGGCCTCCTGGGCGGTGACTTCCTAGGCCAAGCGGCCTCCCAGCAACCGGTACCTCCTCCCTTTTTGGAGGGAAACATCATTGCAGGCTCTGTTATTGTCCRCACAGGCCCTAGACCCGGGCTACTTGGACTGGTACTGGCCTACCTCTAACCTACTGCTACTGGGCCTCTAAAAATGCCAACTTTTTGGCTTCTTCTGCTCGGCCTACCTGCTACTTGAGTGTTTTTCCTCAGCTGCTCTAAGTGCCGTGGGCCTACTCCCCGCTACCGGCATGTTGACCCCCCTGCAACCCTTCAAAGTCACGGCCACAGGTAAGTACCGGCCCGGTGGGCCTTGCAACCAACAAGTACCCTGGCGGGTCACACACATACCCAACCAGCAAGCACTCAGACAGGCATGCAACCCAGCAGGCACGCACACACACACAACCGGCAAGCACTCAGACAGGCATGCAAACCAGCAGGCACGCACACACACAGACTTGGGACCACAGCAGAATGCGGGAATCACAACAAGGCATTCATTCCATTGACAAATCCCAGAAATCAGCAGTGTTCTCAGTCTGTGTTTTGGGCGGGTCATTACAGAGTCCTACTCCTCCCAGTATCTCTTCCTCCCAAGAACCACTAATCCCAACCCACTACCTCTTGTCCCTTTCTCCTGTCTTTACTGCCTCCTTTTATATCTCCCACACCCTCCCACACCCATCACTTATCTGCTTCCCCCCCGTTGTCAATCCCACTCCCCACCTCTTCCCTCCCCCATCAGAGGAAAACAGCGAAGAGCAGAGTGCCAGACAGAAGCGCAGATACAATGAGTGATCAGAGGAGAAAGGCAGAGAATGAAGAAAAGGGGAAGTAGTGGATCAGTGCCTATTACGTGAGTGAAAAATGAGAATGAACTTCCTGCTACAAGATGGGAGGGAACGACATAATTTTTGTCTTTTCTGCATGTTGAAGTAGTGGATCTCTCTCTCTTATCCATCCTGCTGGGAGGCAATCACAATCGGGTCTCTCTCTCTCTCTCTCTCTCTCTCTCTCTCTCTCTCTCTCTCTCTCTCTCTCTCTCTCTCTCCCCCCTCT